TGTTATCAAAGTTGGCAGTAGAAAGGGGAAAACTGACTAATTGGAGAGTGAATACTATTTGTCTCCAAGAGCATATGATTTTAAAAATTTGCCTAAGATTAAAAAATGTCAGAAAACCTTCAGAAACTGTAATAATTTATAATTGTAAATCTTTAAGAGGTTCATTATTGGCATATACTGTTGCAACCTAGCCACTTTGTCATCTCAACTCCTTCATCAAGTTACATTTGGGAATTTCAGGAAAAATCAACCTACTCCAGGAATCTGTTAGGTTGTTTTTGTTTTTGTTTTTGTTATTATTTTAATTTAAGGAATGTGAATACCAGTAAGAAATTCTTGCTGCAATATTTTTACCACTGATTTCTCTGTTCCTCATTTTTTGTCCTTACTGCCCTCATTCTTAGTCATTCTTTTATTCAGCATAGGAGTGTTTGTATATAAATTTGGTGTTACTACTTGGATCCATGCCTAGTTAAGTCATAATGACTTCATTCTACAGATGAGTCAAGTCAAAAAGTCAAGTCAACAAACATTTATTAAACTACATGCCAGGCACTTTGCTGAGTGCTAGGGTACAAAGAAAGGCCAGAAAAACCCAAAACAAAAACAACTGATCTTAAGAAACTCACAATCTAATGAGGGAAACAGCCTGTAAACGACTGTATACAATGGATAAATAGATACACACACATATATTTATTATACATACATACATATATACGTACATACATACGTACATACACACACATATATATATATATGATAAATTGGAGATAATCTCGGGGGAAGGCACTGGAATTAAGGGGGATCAGGAAAGGCTATGTATAGGGAGCTTGTTTTTTAAATAACTTTAAAAGAAAAAATACTCCTAGTCAAAATGTCCTGTTTGAAAGGCATATTGAAGATGGTAGGTCTTCATGTTATGGACACTGTTAAATTTGAATAGACTAAAGAAAGTGAAGTGTGACTCCAGAAGAAAACAAAATAAAACAAAACTGCAAGCCATCCGAATAAGCAAATCAGGCACCTGGCCAAAGATTAATCATGCATGATGGAGGCGAGACAGACAGTTCACCCACAGCCTGATTCCTGCCTTTTCAAGGCTTGACTCCAGCTGCTTCACCACAGTCTTCCTCTGCAACAGCTTGGGCTCCAAATAAAAACTCCTGTTTTGCATATATAGCTACCTGGAAGCATCGGCTTTGTTGCACAGATGCACACACACAAACCCTCTGTCTTTTATCTCCAGCATTCCTCATCCTCTCTTGTGGCTCCGTGTCTCGGCCTCTCACGTTTTGTGCTGCCTCTGTTTATGCCAATTATGGCACAGCAGTGAAGGCTCCCCTTGGCACAGGAGCGGTACGGGCTCGTGATGGGTTTTAATTTAAGGCTTTGTCGTTTTACTCTAGGATTCATGCTCTAATCAAGATGAGGCTCTTGTAAAGGGCACAACCAGTAAGTGACGGGCCAGACACAAAGAGGGCATTGAAGGGGTACCAGTTGGTAGGGCGAGGCTAGGCAGATTCAGCCCCTGAACTTAGACCTAGGCGGCTTGTGAGAAAGTTACCACTGGTCTCTCTTTTCTTTTTTTTTTTCCCAGCCAAATCAATCCCCCAATTCTCTTGTGGAGTTTCAACAACAGCTTACACACACACACACACACACACACACACACACATTCATTCTAATTTTAATTTATACTGGTAATAAGAGCAGCTGACATTTCTGTAGAATGTGTTACATTTTCTAAAGCACAGTGAGGGAAGCCCATGGAGCAATGATGGATTTGGGGCTGCGTTTGGGCTCTGTCACAATTTTTACCCATTTGACCTTGGCCAAGTCAGTTGGGGCCTCTCTTTCCTCATCTGTAAAAGGAAGGGGTTGGGCTGGATGACCTCAGAAGTTTCCCTTCTAGGTCCATATCTGTGATCCTGTACTCTCCTTTTATTTTCAGAACAACCTTGTGAGGTCTCACCAGTGGAGGTAATATTTTCCTCCATTTTACAGATGAGGAATAAGTGGCAGATCTGACTGAGTCTTTTGATTCCAAACCCAGTGTTCTTTTCACCCAGCAAAAGCTACCTCTATATCAGTCCATAGAAGGGTAGAGAGACAGGAAGAATAGCGAAAGGGGGAAAGGGTATTACAGGAGATGTAAGTGAAAATGAGAAGGGAATGGGGGAGGGGGAAAGGGAAAAAAATCCATTCGTGTAGCACCTAATATGTACCAGGCACTGTGCTAAGCATGCTTTATAAATATTATCTCATTTGATCTCCACAACAGCTCTGGGAGATAAATGTTATTTTTATCCCCATTTTGCAGTTGAGGAGACTGAGGCAAACAGAGATTATTTGACTTGCCCAGGGTCACACAGCTAGTAAGTATCTCAAGACTGGATTGGAACTCAGGTCTTCCTGATTCCATGTCCAACTAGAGTCTGCTTCACCACCTAGCCACCTCTAGAAAAGACATCAACTTAGTTTCTCATTTTCTTGTTTAAAAGGACAGATGAGGAGGAACAGTTGATCAAATTGGAATGGTTGTAGGCAGAGAGATGCGCCATTTTGAAGGCATAGTTGTTACCATTCCTTTTGGGCACCAGTTATTCAGTGGTGAAGAATTGTGTGTGGGCATTTGCCTTCTTTTCTTTCTTCCTTCCTTCCTTCCTTCTTTCCTTTCTTTCTTGCTGCTGCTTCCTGCTGACCTCATATTTGAAGGAAAGTCATTCATTCCCTGTATCAATAGGTTCCATGAGAGCAGGAGCATTTCTCTTTGTATCCATCTTCACACCTAGCATAGCCCATCCCTACAGGCTGTAGGTACTCAGTGGGTATCTGTCCAATGATGGAATAGTAGATATTTGTTGAGTACCTACTTTATGTACCCAACAGTATGTTGGACTTTAAAATCTCACAATGATTTTGCAGAATGATAGCTGAATGGTTGATAACAGAAGGGAGCATGGGTTGGCAGTTGCGGAATGGGAGAAAATTAAGGAAGTCACACTGTCTGGAACATAGTAAGCACTTAATAAGTAAGTACTTTATCTAACATAAGTCACAGTAGTCAACGTTCCTGCCCACAAGTAGGACAGTGCCCCAACATCCTTATTTTACAAGTGTCCCAGGGCTTACTTACAGCCTATAAGCTCTATAGGAGTAGGGAACGTGTTTCTTCTGTGTTTGGCTAAAGTCTTATGGATTTGCTTTGCACACACTTGATAAATGTTTGCGGAAATGAACCTTTCCTAGCAAACTAGTGAATGAAACATTACTCAATATCAGAAAGTTCTTCCTTATTTCTATCCTAAACCATTCATCTTATATTCTCTTATTCTGTCCTTTGTAAGATGGGAAATGGATGGTCACCACTGTCACTGTAGCAGACCCTCTTAAACTTGAAGACTCCTTAAACTTCCCCTCAATATCCTTTTCTCTAGTCTAAATAAACCCAATTCCCTTAGAAGTTTTGTTCTCTGAATGAGAAGTGTCAAACACAGGGCTGAAATGCAACCTACAAGACTTCTGAGTATAGCCTGAACCAAACTCAAAGGTAATCGGAAAATATTTAGCAAAATAAATTAAGAAAAAAAGTAGAACAAAGATAACATTAATATGTCATTTTTTAAGTCTACACACATCTTACAGAGATCCTTACGTACAGTTTAGGGGTCCCTGTTTCTATTAGAGTCTGATAACACTGCTCTTAATTATCTCCATCTTAGATCTGCCATCATGGTGCTTCAAAGATGGGGGAAAGTTCTTATCCATTTCAGCTCTTTCATAGGCTTGGGTTATGCCAAGTAATGTATGTTGTAGACCAACTGAAGAGAGCATAGTTAATCATGGTTGTCAGTTATGCCATAAGAAGCTTGGATTGGCGTGGAGCCAAGCAAGGGTAGCCCTGGTTCATTGGCCAAAGCACTGACCGGATTAGAGGAGCTAGGTTTAAATCCAGCTCTGCTACTCATTTATTATCTCTCAAATGAGGCAATTGGACACAAGGATCTCTCAGATCCCTTTTAGATTTCTAAATCTTGCAGCTCAGTCTTAAACCACCAAGCCTTGCTAAGCTACTGTGAAAAGTAGTGACATCCCCAAGAGGGACATGAGATCCATAAGGGAATGCTTTTCTGTCAGTCATTAATGATTTTTGTCTTTGAGAGGTTTCTTGTTCCAACGTTGGCCATCTTTTCTCCTTTGGGTGGGTACTATAATTACTTAGTGGTGCCCATTCTTAATTGTCTGTTCACTGAATTGCCTGCCGGTTTGCCAACCTGACCATTTTCCCCTACTGCGAATGCTTCTGCTTTGGAACTAGTTCAACGAAGGTTATTACTGACTGCATGACTGCTTTCCTTTTCGTCTGCCAAGAAATGATAATAGATGAAAGAAAAACAAATAACAGCTGATGTGGAAAAATCCATTTTGTCTTATCAAGGGTGGCAGGGAGTAGAGCTGCTGGGTGGATGAGCCTCCCAAATGGGATAACAGCTGTAGAATGGCAAGATTCAGAGGAATGGAAATTCAACACCCACCGCACACCCATACCCATCCTCACCAGTATTTCCTTTGGAGAAGACCCACAGTTAGAAGAAGCAAATTTCAGTTCTAGGGGTACCTAGGAATCTTTTTGAATGGTTCTGTTATTCACCTGATTAAATCTTAATTGCAAATTCTATTTTGATGGCGGGTGCTTTTGTGCATATTGGTTTCATGCCATTTTGCTGAGCCTGGCTTTTCCAGAAGACTGTTGCAAATTTAGAAATAGGGAAACGGTATTGCATTTGTCAGTTGGAGTTTTGTTTTGCAGGCTGAATTTATTTTAGGGCTTGTGTGAGGTACCAGAGACTCACATCCATAGAGAGTGGATTGCTTAATTTTTTTGTGGCTCTTTGGTATTGTCCAAACTGTAGTAAGGAAACAATGTCTGTAGTTCTTAAAGGAGTAGATGGATTTGCCAACAGCCTCATCTTTTGTGTTTTTGATTAATTTTTCAGAGACCTAAGAAACCACCTCCTCCATCAGCTCCTGTCATCAAACAAGGGGCAGGTAATGTGCCTTTCAATTTTATTAACAAATTATTTGCCTATTTCTTTGTCAAAATGAGGGCATGTCAAATAGGGAATGAACCTACTTAATGTGCCAGGCACTTTTACAAATATTATCTCATTTAATCCTCATAATAACCCTGAGAGGTAGGTGCTGTTATTTTCACCATTTTACAGTTGGGGAAACTGAGGCAAACAGAAGTTAAGCAACTTGCCCAGGGATGACACAGCCAGTAAGTTATCTGAGGCTGGATTTGAACTCAAGTCTTCCCAACTCCAGTGCATAGGAGGCACTTAATAAATGTTTATTGATTGATTGACTCCAAACCCAATACTCTATTCACTATGCCTCCAGTTGTCTTGCCTTCCCAATAGCCTTGGAAGCAGTCACTATTTGAACTGGATTTGACAATATGAGAAATTATGATTTGAGCAAAGATACAGGTTCAAGTAACAGTAAAAAGAAATTAACAGTTATTTCTGGTAGGCATATATTTAACTTCTGGAGAAAAATGTCCATCAAAACTGCCCTATGAGAGGCAATACCATACTAGTTATGGTTACCATTCTAGTAATAACAACAGTAAGTGAAATTTACATTGCTTTTTAATGTTTGCAAAGTGATTTGTTTACATTTACACCACAACCTTTGTAAAGTATTATAGTTATTATCAGAAAAAGAAACAGGCCCAGAGAGACTGAATGATTTGCTCATGGCTGCCCAGTGAAGTGTGAGAGGTGGAGTTTGAGCCCAGGTCTCTGGGCGAAAAAGTCCAAACATTCTTTCCGTAATACCACACTGCCAGGAAAAGTATGTGACATGGGACAAATCACTTTTACTTCACTATCTGTAAAATGAGAGACTTGGGCTACGTGATCTCCAGGGTCCTTTTTGGCTCTGATATTCCATGTTCCCTCATCTTCTGTTTAGTAAAAGGGATTTCACACAATTCTGAGTTAGTTATGTTAATAATTCTGCCCGTGTGTCATAGAGAGGCTCATTGTGTGTCTGGGGTAAAAAAAATTTTCGGTTTTGTTCAAACCTGTGATTTCATTGGTGGAGGCATCTTCCATTGAGAAAGTACCCTTTCTGAATGCAGATCATCTCTTCTATAAATTATAGTCTTGAATTATTACCTGGAGCACTGAGAGATTAAGGGATTTTCCGTAATACGTATCAGAAGCTGTACTCAAATCATCTGGTTTTTTAACCCATCTTTTTTTTCCCCAAGCCCATTTTCTTGACTTCAGACACTATACCATACTGCCTCCCCACTAAAAAATGAATGAATTTAAAATCTCTCTCTACTTAGTTCAGAGGTTCCTTTGTGTTCTTCTTTTGTTTCTTTTTCTCCAAAAAAATTTTCTGGCAGTAAAGGCTTAGTGCCTATTCATCTTGAATAGATTCCAGTTTGTGTGTTGCTTAGACTAGACCCAAATATGTCAGTGTTGTTTAGTCCCTGTAGATTAGGGTTGGGGAGGAGTCTTGGCAAAACCAGTGCTAGGAGCTTGGATGTCTTCTCAGTGTGATTGGCTGAAGATGCTGTCATTTTGATACACAGTAAATCTCGTGCATAGAAATGATGCTGTATATTTGACCCGATAGAATTTATTTTTATTTTTAAAAAACCCATAAGGAATACTATTTTTGAATAAATCGTTGAATTCTGCTTGCCACAAATAAAGCTAGAGACTGATATTTGCAAGGGAGAAAAAAGGAACCCTGAGTTTGTTTTCCCCAGAATTTTCAGTTTGAAGTGTTCATTCACTCACTGATTATTCTGTTTGTCATGCATTAAGAGGCAATTTAAAGCCATTCTTTAGAGGCCAAGTGCTACAATAAAGCATGATACTGGAAGACTTTCTGACTTAATCCAAACCCCTTTCCCATTCCCTTGGTCACAGCTGATAATTAAAAAGATTAAATCCTGAAATGTGCTAATTAGATCTATTTTGTCGCCATCATTGTTGGCATGGAACAGTTTAACTTTGCCACCTAGTGGCTGTTGTATTGTAAATAGTTTACTGGGCTAAAATCACGCAGGTCCGTTTCCTTTTTTTCTAAACGGAGTCACAGGACATGGCAGGGATTGGGGGAGACAGAGAGGAGAAGAGAGAGCAAGAAAAGAAAGAAATGTGGAGGAAAGAAGGAAGACAGAGGGGAGATAATGAATATACAGGGGAGACAATGATCTGTGCAGCTGATCTGGTCTAGGATATTCGTAAATTTTGAGTTTAGGTTTAGATTCCCTTTGTGATTGTCCCCTAGTATCTGATTCCCTCAGTGTCTTTCCTGAGCTATTTATTTTTATTCATGACTAGAGTTATTGGGAAAGCTAAATTCTATGGTATCAGCCAGATTTTTAGGGTTTGGGTAGTAGAGAGGGACATTTGTTACCCTACTGTCCTGATTGTCTTCTTTAGAAATATATAGATTTTTACCGCTCGTGAATAACCCTGGGAGGTGTTATTTATTATTCGTAAGCATCATTATCCACATGTTACAGATGAGGAAACTGAGTCTCAAGTGGGTGAAATGACTTGCCTATTAAGTTCACATGACTAATAAATGGCGGAACTGGGACTTGAATCCAGATCTTCAGACCCCAAGTCTAGTATTCTTGCCACTTCTCCAGAAGCATTTAGATGAATTCATGTGAGCTAAATGAAAAAAAATTTTTTTTAATTTGCAATTTGATGTAAAGGTAAGAGTACGGGTTTAGAGCCACAGTATCAAAATTAAAAGCTGTACTCTGCTACTAACAACCTATGTGACTCTGGGCAAGTCCCTTTCCCTCCCTTGACTTTTCTTTCTTGATCTATAAAATGAGGTGGTTGGACTATATTCCCCCTAATGTTTCTGTTAGCTCTAAATTCCATGACCTTTCCCCATCCCCCCCCCCCAAAACCTGCTGGAGTCAGTAAACCCTCTAATGTTTTACTCCCCTTTGGATAATTGGCTTACCAGAGGTAGAGACACGTAAGTAAGTCAGCAATTTTCACTAAAAGAAAGGGTGCAATCACTGATGTCCCTTTAAGTTGTAGGGAACAGTCACAATCTACTTAGTTCAGGGTTGAATGCACTAATTGCTATATTTTGAAAACTTAATATTTGAGAACTGGTCTTTCAAGGCAGGATGACTTGAGGGAGAATTCCTAAATAATCTCTGTATATTTTCTGACTTAAAAATGGAATTTAAGTCCATATGAATTTTCCGTTTAGCAATGCAGCATGGTATCAAACTACTCCATCATCTGTATACTTCAGTGTTACAGCATCATTGTGATCTATCATTTGGTTCTGAATTTAAAATATATACAGATTAAAAGGAAAAGATCTGTCAGGGTTAAATATCAGAAAGTTTTTGTAGTTCTATTAGTTCTATAAATTAAGGGCACACTCAATTCTTTAGATGGAAACTGACCCCAAAGTAATTTTTATACATCTCAGATTCTCTAGGAAATTGAAAACATTACACTTCATGTTGGACTATACAGACTAGGCCATAATTAACTACTAATGGCTTAAAATACTCGGATGTCTAATAAATAGATCATGGTGTTGGTACTAATATATATTTTTTTCAATAGGTACAACAGAACGAAAGCATGAAATTAAAAAGATACCTCCTGAAAGACCAGAAACTCTTCCAAACAGAACAGAAGAAAAAGGTATGGAATTAATTCTCTATTGGCCTTTCTTAGAGTGGTAAAGGAAGGGAAAAATTGGTCACTGATCTGTTCAGAGATATTTGGTTAATTTGCTTTTCCTTGGTGATGAGGTAATGCCCCTAATTAGACTGTGAGCTCCATGAGAGCAAGGATATATATAATATATATCCCTAGTACTAGCACATAGTTTCTTAATAGATGTTTATGACTGACAGATTAACATTTTTAGGAACCATGTCTTGGTTAATAGAAGAAGATTATGTAATTGATCTTTAAGTGTGATCTTCTTAGGACCAAAGAGCTCCCTGGTGGAGCTTTAGTTATTTCTAGATTATAAGCTTCTTAAGGGTAGGGAACCCTGTCTTACACTTCTTTATGTCTCCCCACACTACTTAGCTCTGTTGCTTTCCTATAAAATGTGTTCAGTAAATGTTGAATGGGTGATCATTTGAATGGATTTCAAAAATTCCGCTGATTAGACATTAATGCTATTGAGACAAAAGTCACATGTTCAGGTCTCATTTATGCCATTTCTACTCAAGGACAAATTAGTACAGCATTACTTTTCTTAACTAAATTTTATTTTTCAGTTTCAATTTATTTTATTTTCTCTCTTATCACCTTCTTCCAGTGGAAAAAGAAAAGAAAAACATAACCCTTGTAACAAATAATAGCTTTGCTTTTCAAAGGGGCTTCCACATGTATATTGCCTTATTTGTACCTCACAAAACATGAGAAGGTAGGACTGGTGCTGTTGTCACTGTTTTGCACTAAGGGGGCTGAGGCTCCAAGAGGTGAATTCAAGGATATTTCATTTTCAAAGGTGGACATATATACATATATGTTACATATGTATATATTATATTATTATACTGTTATACTATTTATAATTGTATAATAATTCTATACTAAAGCTACAGTATAGAATTATAAATACTATATATCATATATACCATATAATGCTTTATTATAATATCGTATATTACAACAATATACGTAATGTATTACAAGACAGTATCTGAGAGAGCCAGAATTATCAATCACTCTTGTGATTGATGTTAGTTTTAATGCCTCATGTTAGTTTTAAATGTTATCTAAATTAAATAAGTAAATGTTCATTAATTGACTTTATAAATTAAATACTACTTTAATATTAAATATTTTCTACCTGCCAAAGGTTTTACAGAAAGGATAAAATCTCATAAAATTGTACATGTTTCATCCCACTAGAGATAATTTGAAAAAAATGGCATAGGTTAAAACTGTGCTAAAAAATCAACAGCAACAAATTAGTAAATATTTATTCAGTACCTACTCTTTGTAGGTCACTGTTCTGAGTGCTCTACCTTGGAAAAGTAACAAGCTATCTACCCCAGGTAGCTGACCTAGGGAACAATAACTTTGCTCTCTTGTTACGGTGAATTCTGTTCAACAAATAATTCTGCACAATAAGTGCCTCCTCTGTTCTAGGCTAGTTTGTCAACCATTATTAAGGAAAGAACTTGATAGCTTAAACAAAACGGATGATAAAATGTACAAATCACCTGACAGATTTTGTGTGTGTGTGTATAAACACACACACTCACCTCCCCATAAATGAAACATCCTCATATATTGTATAATCATGTAATGTGATTATAGAATGATATTATTATGAAATATATGCTTTTACCCATTGACCACTCTATGAAATTTGTTATCATGAGATTAATAATAGAGAAAATTTCCATCTGGTACAGGGGTTTTTAACCTGCAGTCCATGAACTATAAAAAAAAAATAGATATTTTTGATAATTATCTCAATATAATTGATTTCTTTTGTAATCTTATGTATTTTATTTTGTGATTTTGAGAATATTCTGAGAAGGGATCCATAAGCTTTACCAGATTGACCAGAGGGATCCATGACACAGAAAAGGTCAAGAACCCCTGCTCTCCTGTAAAGGTTAGGCTTGGGGAAGATGATAACAAGTAAATGATGTTTATCCAATTCCTTATCTTAGCTCCTTGAATGTGAGCAGTCATTTGTTTGCCTGGTTCTCATCTAAGGAGAAAAAAAATACTGTTAAGTGCTTAAGAAGTATACTTCCTAATAGAGATGTTTTCTTTGTGAATTTTTAAAAATGATTTAAAGAAAGACCAGAGAGAGAGCAAAAACTGGATTTACAGAAGCCTTCTGTTCCTGCCATCCCTCCAAAGAAACCTCGCCCACCCAAGACAAATTCTCTCAGCAGACCTGGTGCGTTGCCCCCGAGAAGACCAGAAAGACCAGTGGTGCCTGTGACACATACCAGGTATTCAGACTATTTCTCTCGATGTGTGTCTGGCAGATTGGTTATCATCCTTACTAGTGCAGAGCTTAGAGTGAACCATCTCTCTCTGTCACAGGGCCTCAGAGGGATTTGGCAGGGTCAAGGGAGGTGAGGAAGGGAATATATTTTCTCTCTCCCTTTCTCTCTCCCTCCCTCTGTCGCCTTTCCCCACCCCCATCCCCTTTCCACTTAAGATATCACTGGTGTTGGGAACTGCATATGAAGAAATTCCTTCTACCAATGAAAAGCTGCCACTCTTTTACACCTTACTGTCTTAGAGAGTTGTCTGGTATGCTGAAAGATTAAGTAGTTGGCCCCCAGGGTTTTACCACCAGTATGTGTCAAAGGTTAGATTCTGCCCACTTCTTCAGAGCTCTTAACACCAGCTCCAGTGTCTCTGGGTGTATCCGAGTGAGTTGAGTTTTTTGTTTTTTCTAGACCCACACATGACTTTATTGGTGTTAGGAACTCCCAATGAAAGACTCAGATTGTCTTCTGCTTATAGTTAGAGAGAGCTGCCTGTTTTCATTCAGGGATACTTATTTCGTTAGAGCGGGCATTGCTTCTACTAATACAAATCACAGCCCCTCTACTCCTCAGTAGATGATGTTCACAAATTGTTGTAGGAATGACCTAGTGACCCTACTTCTGGCAATGAACCTCTGCAGCTTTATCTGGGCCAGTCCTCAGATGACATACAGACACAATGTCAATCACTGGCTGATCAGTATGGTGCTATAAGTAGCAGTTCATTCCACAGGAAGAATGTCATAAAAAGACAATTTAAATGGTTCCAGTAGGATTTTGTCAGTTTATGTTAAAGATTAGGTATGTATTGAAATATTTTGAGGCAAAATTATCTTAGTTGGGGTAACTATACATGAGGTATATACATATATATATATATATATATATATATATATATATGCATGCAATAGAGAAGGAAGGAGGCAATATGGAATAGTGGAAAGAACTCAGGATTTAGAGGCAGAGGGATTGAGTCCCAATTCCAGTTCTGCTACTTATTGCCTCTATGACCTTGTTTAGGTCTCAGTTTGCACATCTGTAAAATGAGAGGGTTGGTCTAGATCAGGGCTTGGAGGGTCCTATAGCTGGAGGGCCAAATCCAGCCCACCTCTGAGAACTAAGAATGGCTTTTACATTTCTAAATACATTTTTTACCTTTTAAATACTTTTAAAATACATTTTAAAATTCTCTGTTTTAAATACTTTTAAAAATACGTTTAAAATTTTCATATTTTTGATATATTTAAAAAGTTAAATTTAAATTTATTTAAAATAAAATTTTTAAATTTAAAAATTTTTTAAAAAATAAAATGTATTTAAAAATGCAAAAAAAAATCCACTATATAGCTCACTGGCTATACAAAAGCAGGCCTTGGGCTAATTGGACCCTCAGGCCTTAGTTTGCCAGCCCCTGGTCTAGATAGATTTCACTAGGGTCCCTCCCAGCTTTAAATTTATAATCTTAAGATCCTCTATGTGTATACATGTACATAGAATTTCTAAGTAGTCAGTTGTCCATATTTCCCTCTTCAACTTACTTTCTTGTCAAGTTATGATATGTTCAAGTTAACACAAAGCAGAACAGACATTCCCTTCCTTTAAGTGGAAAAACAGCATGTAAAACTTTGCAAACCCATCCAAATAAATCAACATCATTGTCACAACATTTTAGTATTTTTGATGCTCCCAAGTAAAAAGTTTGGTCAGGAAAAATAGTTGAAGGCCATCCAAATATACACAAAATTCTAGAACACTGGATAGTTTGTTGGTATTAAAAGTGTTTTTAAGTAAACTTTGAACATATGGATGAGTGGATGAACATGGGTATACATACTCCCCTGACCTTGTATGAGAGTTTAGGTTCCAAATTTCTGACTTTAGCTGACAGTTGAAGGAAGCCGAAGAGGTGGAGATGAGGAGGAAGAGAGTTCCAGGCATAAAGTGCATATCAGAGTGCATGGAGTCAAATATGAAGAGTCTTGTTCAAGGAATGGCAAAGAAGTCAAGAGGCTTAATTAGCCATAATATGGAAAAGATAACTCAGCAATGATACACCATTGATTCAGATAGAGGGCCACTCCCTTGTCTCCTTACAGAAGTGTATCTGGTCAGCAGGATGTATCAGGTAGGATGACTAGCATGGATGTGAGATATCTGCCATGTCTGAAGGGCACTGACTCCTTATGGGCTAGCCTTTTATGTCCTTTTATGTTCTAGGTAACCAACAAACCACTTCAGTAGTTCAAGCCATAGCTTCCTGGATCATTCAAGTATCAAGGAAACCTTCCCTGCCTTTTAAAGAAAAAACTGGCCTAACATATATGGCAGATACCTTTCTGTCAAGGTTAAGGGATGGCGGGTAAAGAGCTAGCTTGCACCACAGCTACCGTTTTGATGTTAGCAGAAATTAAGGAAGACCTCTAGCTCATTAGGTGAGGATGTGGACAAGAGTTAGTGAGTCAATAAATGGGTTGTGGTCTCCATACTTAGAGAGAACTTTCAAGATGATGAGATCACAAACCCATCTATTTGAGTATTTAGTTTTTCAACAATTTGAGAATTTGACAGAAAACTGAGTTAATAAAAACAACTGAGTCATTCATAATACAAACACTATTCGGTTCTTTGGCAGGAAGACTTTCTATATAAGTAAGTAGGTCAAAGATGGTATCTTTTGAATGCTTGGCAAAGCAAAATAATTTGGAAAAAAAAGAATTTTTCGTAAATCCAGCTAGTTTATAAGATATGTAGAAGAGGAGGTCACCTAGCCCTTGATGAGTGGTGAAAGTAGTGAAACCTGCCAACTTTGACTAGACATACTGAACAAAGAGTGTATAGACCAATTTAATTTCATCATTTAGAAAACAGGAGTGGTGAAGTTTGGATTCAGTCAAAGGGCAGCACTTGAAGATCCAGAGGGCCACTTGTGGCCTTAAGGCTGCAGGTTCTCCACCTCTGATAGATTGTTCAAGCAGCAATACTTAACACCTAATCTCCCAACACCTAATGTGACCTAATTTTCCAAACTATTGATTTGCTTTCTGAACACTCTGAAAACTCTGAATTCCTTTGTTTATCTGTTACCTGTTTATTTTCTCCTCTTGTAAGTTTTCCTACAACTTAAGTTTTCACACTTTTTATTCATGGCAGAATTGAGGTTTTTTTTTTTTTTAAAGCCTCCCCTATACCCAGTTGTATATTAGAACCATGTTTCATGAAGAATGATATTTTTAAAGTCTGCGCAAAAAATCAGCATGAACAGAAATGGTACAGCAGTTAGGATGGATGTTTTCTAAAATGTATATACTCCCTCCGCCTCCCTTCCCACCCCCAACAGCTGGGGAACTGATGAGTGAGATTGAGAACTTTGTGGAGCTCAACTTTCTTATTGGCATTTCTAAGTGACCTTGACAGGTTAGGTCCCAGAAAGTCTCACCCAGCTCCTATAAATGACCCTTGGAAAGTTGCCTGCCTGTAATTGGCAGAAATGAATAGGGCTGAGGAACAATTAGGGAAAGCTAGAAGCTTCAGCTAAGTACTACCTTTTATAGCATGTTTTATTTAGCGAAAAATGATACTTCCTCTAGTTTTTCTTGAGTGTTACTAGGTTATTCTGGCCTTTCAAATTGCTGGCTGCTTGCACTTACTGGAAATAGTTTAAAGAATGCCTGGTTTTCATGTGTGGGGGAACATTTTGTTTTGTATCTTTATTGTTATCTTCCCTGATTTGATTCAAGTTTACCTTTCCAGGCTTACCTCCATTCATTCATTCATTCATTCATTCCTTCTCATTCAATAACTTAACTTACTTCATTGGTTCAGTGGGTCCTTAATTTTCCTGAGGCAGGTACTCCCTGCAGTCATGAAGATTGCAACCTATCCACCCCTTTTCATCTGTAGTGACTCTTAGTCCATGTTTTCCCTTAAATCCTCCATAAAGAGTCCACTACCATACTCTAGGCCTTCCACTGAATCTTTTTATGTTATTTGAGTTCCAGAACTTATCCAAGTGTTATCCAAGTTTAGTTTTGGTTGATATTCCTTGTTAACTGTTTTATAAAGAATTAAAATTTTAGAACTGAAAAGAAAGTTCTTGGTTGTGACCCAGACCTTGGAGAAAACATATGCTTCGTGGTTTGGATCATGACACCATGTGAAGAAAAGCCCTGGCTGTCATGTATACACACCATAGATTCATGTCTGTTGAGTGGGAATTGAATCTGTTGAAGACTGAATCTGGGAACTGAATCTTGTGAAGGGACAGTGTCATGCACATACAACTACCAGGAATCCTCTCTACTTTTAACAAAGTTACTGCCATCTTCACCTTTGCCTTTCTGTCTTCTTTGTTAAAAAAAAAAAATACTAACAAAAAAAAGTAGACAACATTTCAGTGCCATAATGTCCCAATACATTAATTAGGAAGCAATGGACTGAATAAGTCACTAATTCTATTGTGAAAGCTTGAGTCCTTCAGAGATGGCTTTTTTAGAACAATGGAATGGTTTTCTTATGTTTAGTGTATAAATTGCTTAAACCGCTTTTGCCCAAGAGATCAAGGGCTGGATAAAAATCTTAATATTGGGGTTTTGACTGGAGGACACCCCTCATGTTATAAATATTTTCACTTGTTTCTCTATGTGGTGAATGCTCTGCATTGCAATGTGTTTTGAAAGAACCACACAGAGAAATAAATGTCTGATTTTCTTGTGATGCTTTTAGCTTAAGGCAAAGATTATAGAAATGTTAATATACTAATGTCAACTGAGTTATTGGAGAAGTGAGGATGTATCTCTTGAGACTAACTTACCTGCAAAGAAGTTAATTTTCTTTCTCTAGATGTGGAAAGATATCAGATTCTCTAAGCCATTTGGTATATAAATATGCAAAAGATAATCTTCAAGGTAATGAGAACTCAGTGGTGTAACTATAATACTGCCACCAAAGCACAATAT